ATAATGTACAGTATAATCTCATTAAGCTAAATGGGCCTGAAGTTATTAAATAGTTGTGGGTCATCAGAAGATTAGCTAAATGGGGTGCTATTTACATTGGATTATACTGCGTACCAGAAAATGAATACATGCCTAATTTCTTCTCTGAATATTTATTCATTCTTAACTTTTACATGGCTGCTACCAATTTTCATGTGTTGGTTAGACAAGGAAAGGTATTGGTCACTGATAGAAAGAATATACTACACACAAGGACCAATATGGTGAAAAGTTTCTTCTCACAGCTGGAGAGCTACTATCCTTTAACTCTTACCCTCTGCCCTTGACTCTTACTCACCTTACAAATGGGACAATAGGCTGGTTCCTTTAAATTTCCCAAAACAAAATGAAAGCAGACAGTTTCTTCTTCTTGCTCTTTCCCTTATCAGTTGTAGTATCTGCCTCCATTTACTCCTTTGCTCTATGGCACAAGGAATCCTTGTGTCTGGTTGGGAGGAATGGCAGATAGGGAAGGGAATAAACACAAGGAGCAAGAGCTGCTTTCTCTCCAGATGCAAAAGTCAGTGTGGTGGAGTGGTTAGTCATTAGTGTGTCAGACTGGGAGTCTAGGGTTTAAATCCCCACTCAGGCATGAAGCTCACTGGGTGAATATGGGCGAGTTGCTGCCTCTCAGCCTAATCCAACCCCACAGGATTGTTGTGGCGATTAAATGAGGAGGGGGAGGACCATCTATGCCACCTTGAGCTCCTTGGAGAAAAAGGTGGGATATAAATGCAGTAGGTAGATAGATAGATTCAGAAGTTTTAAGGAACTTTTTTAAAGTGGGAATCTCACATTACCTTCATTATTCTCAAAAAAATAAATAACCCAGAAGGAAAAACAACTCATCTCTGAAGGACTGGGGCAGAACTCTGAAGGTGGGTAAATTACTGTGAGCACACCATACAAATGACTTTGCCCGAAGAATCTTGGAAAATGTACTTTACAGACTGATAGTTCCCAGCACTCTTGACAAACTACAGTTCCCAGGATACTTTGAGGGAAGTCATATGCTTTAAATGTATGGTGTGTACACAGCCATGATATAACCAAAATGTGTTAGGCACCACCAATGTTTTTCATGGTTTGTTAAGCATTTTGGGATTCCCTTATTTTTTGGGGGGGCTATTAGTGAAGTAACTGAGGGACTTTTGAAGTGAATCTGACATGAGTATGGTCCTTGAATTAGCCTTGAGGGAACTGGTGGTGAGCTCAGATTTTCCTCACAAATTGAAGTTTCTGGTGTGTGTAGGGGGGCGGGGGGAGAGAGATCTCTTCAGGGCAGGGCTTTGGCTACCAGGTGTGGTCCCTCCAATTCACTGCCTCATAACAGTGCTTATAGAACAGCTGCCTTTTGACTGTATACTTAAAAGTTAGAATGACATGCCTAATTAATAGAACATTGTCACAGGATAATGGTGGCCCTGCTGACTTGCTGTAGTGTTTGTCATCAGCAAACAATACTGAGGCAAACACTAAGACATCTGCTTCCCAAACAGAAGCCCATCTTCTTCCTGTGACAACTTTCTAGCCCAATTAGCCAGTTACTTTTATACCAAAAATGATTGATTTAGGCTCGCTTGGTTTTGCCTGGAATTAAAGCAGTCCAGCTTTAACTGATTTAGGAAGGTGACCCAACCATTAGTATTAACCACCAATAAGTATCCTGTAGAAGAAAGAGTTATTGAGGCACCCAGGCCAGCTATAAAAGGATCTCAGGAAAGTTGAGACATAGTCTGATACCTTAGAGAACTGCTACCTGCCAAACTAGAAAGTGCCTGACTAGAATGCTCAATGGACCATTAGTAATAGTTGATCAAACTGCGGGAGGCAGTGGAGGACAGAAGTGCCTGGCGTGCTCTGGTCCATGGGGTCACGAAGAGTCGGACACGACTAAACGACTAAACAACAACAACAATAGTTGTTGTTCTTATTGTTATTATGCTTCCATCTTAATCCCATCATCCCCACTGCCCCCGATCCAGTTTCAGGTCCTGTTCCACTTCTTCCTTCAATGTTCCACTGATTGACAGATAAATCTATTTTCTTAAGTGCTGTTCATTGGTGAAGAGGATAAAAACACAGTGAAAGAACAATAGCACATTTAGTTCTTTTAGGTGAATCATTGAGAGAAATGCTCTTTTACTCAGAGTTGCAGGAAGCTGAATGACTGGCATAACTAACTAGCCATTCTACAATGGGATATGTTCAGCAATATTTATGTGAGCTTTGTAGGCTAAGATACACTTGGGTGGCAATGAATTGTCAGTTCCTATATCAATCTGCCAAGTATGAATAGGCCTTAGTGAGCCTGAACATTAAGTTCAGGAATCCGTAAAGCTGATAGAGATCATGCATGATATCGATATGACCTTAATCTCGGAGGATATAAATTAATCCATTTTAAGCAAGCAAGCCACCTTATTCTGCAAAGTTGCATCTCAGATTTTGCACAGGACATTTTATAAAGAAGCAAATAGCTAATTAATGTGATAACTGAAGTGGCAGCTATTGTGATATGTTTACCACTGTGCTGGCTTCCATTGGTATCCCCCAAATTAGTGTTATAAAGAAACCTTGTCTGTGATAACTAAATCTGTGTTAAGATATTTAGGATCAACATTTGAGGTCCATCCACTATTCCTCCAGCCACTGTAACATAGATTTCCCTCCCAACTTGTCATAAGGGCCCTGGAGTATTGTTTGATTTCAGGGCTATATATCTACCACCCATGACTTAATCATGAGTAAGGGAACTGACATACTGTGTATAACTGAGATGTGGGTGTGTAAGCTGAGAGAAACTGATTTCTCAGCAGCGGTGTCTGCCTAGGGTCAGCTGAGTTTCCCTATAACACTAATATATCCATGAGAATTGGTTGGTGAGAGATCATTATAGCCTATAGCAGCCTTCCTTAAACTAGTGTACTCCAAATGTTTTGGACAACAATTCCCATCCACCCCAGCTGGCATGGCCAATACTCATGGATGATGGGAGTTGTAGGAGAACACCTGGTTGCAGAAGGATTTGTATTTCTTCTCTCTCTCCTCACTGCCCTCAGAATGCCTGTTGAAGTCCTGGTTCCTCTCTGGAATAGCAGTGGTAGTCACCATCACTCCCAAGTGCCTCTCCCACTTTGCAGAGCTCAGTCTTCTCCTTGGCTTTCTGAGGAGCTCCAAACAGTAAAGCTTTCTAAGAGATGAGTACAATATTAATGGTGAAAGTCTCAAAGTGAATTTGACTGAAGCCAGAAAAGAGCTCATTACTGAGCCTACTGAGTGACAGTGATGGTGACAAAGCCATTTTAAGTCCTTTGCTGCTTGAGGCAATGAAAAATATAGTGTCTCACCCAGTCCATGTATGATGGCTAATAAAGCTAGCAGCTTAATCTTCCTTCAACACTGGTGACCCAATAGCATCTTCCATGGTATCCAAGAGCAGCAGACTAGCTTAAGGAGCAGAAGACAGATTATGGGGCAGAAATGCCACCTAAGGCAGCTGGCCCTGGATTGCAGTGAAAAAGCATGACTTGTCAAGCCACCATTGCATCCTCAGGGTGCCACCCAGTGGAGCTTTTCCAAGTTGTTCAGGGCCTACTTCAACTTGGGCATATTGGTGGCATTAGAGAAACTTTGGAGAGTCACTAAGATAAGTTTGCTAAGTACTTTGAAAATAAAGGCTTTTGCATTTACCTTGACCTGGACTTGTTCAGAAGTTCAGACAGTGGATGTATCTATGGCACCATTAAGTTTTGGGGTTATGGGATGCATTTTTGTTTTTGCAGCTTTGGGCTGTGAAGAAGGGGCTTGAATGAGTGTGGCCTGCTATATGTCTTCTTGACTATTGTCCTTCTTGACTAGCAAAAGTGGGTTGACCAGCTGAATCTAGAAGATAACAAACATCTCTTTATGAAAGGCAAAATATTCAATTGTCATTAATAATTTGGTGGTGAGGCTGCTCATGAAGAACCCCTTCTTCATGTCCAGAAACATTATGCCAAACTGGGCAACATTATCCTCAGAGGTGTCCAAATCACTGTGGTTTGGAACAGTTCAGTCTGCCACCTTGATTCGAAAAGGCATCCAACAGTATCTAAACAATAAACCAAAGCCTGTACCTTAATCTCAGGAACCATCACATCCAACTGGAATGATGATGTCTTCAGAGCATTCTAAACTGGCAGAGTTTGGAACCATCATGCCAAATTGGGTTATGTGATGCCAAATTGGGCCATGATGTTTTCAGAAGCATCCAAATTGGCATAGTTCAGAACAGTCATCTCTTTGGAATGGTTCAGTCCACCACCTGGAGTCAACAGTATTCAAGTGTAGACCAAAACCCACTCCTCACTCTTCAGAACTGTGACTCCAAATTGGGTGATCATATCTTCAGAGGCCATGATATCTACTACTTGCAATCAGAAGTTTCAATAAGGCAGAATTAGTTACGGTGCATACAATGACCTGGAGGAGTATCACACAGTCAACTGAACCACCTCAACTATTCCATGGAGGCCTGTTTGGTGTGATCTTCCATTTTTCTCCAGTGTCACATGTCATATGGCCCTGGAAAACTGGTCACAGTTCCAACTGGCCACAATCCCCCCTTATTTTCCTATATAGCAATGCCATTTTTCAAAATATGGAAAAAAATAACATTATGTATTATATGTCTATCAAATAATTTACCCTTATTAGAAACAAAGGAAGATAGCTTATACCAAATCCAACCTTATAACTCGGTATTGCCTATACCAATTGGGTACCCCCCCACACACTAAAAAACAAATAATGTTGCAGAGGGCAGCTCCCCATTATCTATGACCACTGGCCATGCTGGCTGGAGCAGATGGGATTTGCAGTCTAAGATATCCAGAGGTCACCGTGTTGGCTACTCCTGGTCTGCACTGACTGACGGTGGTTCTCCAGGGTTTCAGACAAGAGTATTTCCCATTCCTACTTGAAGAAGCCAGGGATTGAACCTGGGACCTTCTGCCTGCAAATCATGTGATCAACCACTGAGCCATGGCCCTTTCCCATAGTGACATTTGAGGCAGAGGTTAGAATGTACATCTGTTGTTTAATTGTGTTTTGCTGCATCTGGAAGTCCATTTCTCTCCAGCATCCATCATAGTCATTATCATTTTAGTAAAAACAGAACTGATAGTTCAGACACACAGTTCCGCTATATAGAAATGGCAGAAATATATTCTATGGCATGTGGAAAACTCATTACTACTACTACTACTACTACTACTACTACTATTTCCTTATTGGTAGAATTATACTGAAAGATGAAGAGTTCATAAAACTACGAACTGGTGGTGACCCAATAATCCAACATACGGAAGAAGCCAAAATAAATCCCATGAAGCTGACAGATGAAAGAGAAACCAGAGTGCAAACTAGCTTACAAAAATGGTCAAATATTGTCAAGTGATCTGATGGTAGGTTGTCTTATATACCGACTGCATTGTGAAAAGTAAAAAACAAGCACTATGTCTTGCCAGGAATAACTAGCTTGAAAATGAAAGCGGGGAGACAGGGAGATGAGCAGGAGGAGAGAAAGGATTGTTGTCTTTTTAATGGACTTTTAAGAAGTGAACAGCCACAGTGTTTCTAGGGAATGTGATCCTGGTCAGTAACACACAGACCTCGGGGCAGAGAGGTCCTTAACATTCCGTTAGGACCTTTTGAACTCTGTTCATGCTACAAAAACTTCCTTTGAAAGGAACTGATTCACTGGCCTGTCAGAATTAAGGGGGGAGTGATGCTAAATTAATGCCCTCCCCCCGCATCTTGTTTGACTAAGAATCTGGCTGGGGAAGTATTAATTCCAATTGCTGCTGGATTAACAGTAGGCTCTATATTCAAACCCTTATTAGCCCTTTAATATGAAAGAAAAGCCACACATGGCTATTAATTACGTAAACAGCATTACTTTTTCATCGTGCATTAAAAAAGAAAGAAAGGAAAAGACCAGCCATTTCCCCATAATGGTGGGGGACTTCAGGAGTATAATTTAATTACAAACCCAAATGATCGAGGCAGACCAAACACTACAACATTTTCCTTTCCCCCTTTTTTTATTTTAATACAATCATTCTCTCATTAATTGCTCGGATCTGTGAAGGGAAGGCCTCCAAGCCCGGGCTTTGCACAAAACTCATCCAAGAGTGAAGAGGGCAAGCTGAACACTTTAGTCCGTCCAGCTGCCTTTAAGTGAATGGTTTTCTGAAGGGTATGAATGCTTTCTGTCTCTCCTCATACAATGTAGGTGTTACTGCTCTGAGGGAAAGAAACAAAACAATAATCACTTGAAGGGAGCTCAGTCCTGCGGAGGGGAGGGCAGCGTTCTCACTCACTCATAAAATCATGCCTCCTTCATATCAGTAAGAGGGACATGGTACAAAAGGTGACTTCGAATGGTACTTTCAGGGGGTCGGGAGAGCTCTTTGAAAGCATCGAGCTATTCTAAATGAGATTGGACTAGCATCTGCCTTGGCTTTGTGAGTCAATCGGTGGGCATTTTACAGTGAAATAACCCTCAAAAAGACCAAGTAGCACTTCTAAAGATGCACAGAGGAGATGCATTTTAATACAAAGACCCCTTCCACTACGCCTGCCTGCCTGCGTGGATATCCACCATTAACATCTCTACAAATGCCTTTTAAAATAACGAATGTGGGCGATGGGATTTCTCTCTCTCTCTCTCTCTCTCTCTCTCTCTCTCTCACACACACACACACACACACACTTCTCTGCCATAATAATGCAAACACTGGGGTCTTATGATATATAGTAGGTGCTTCTTTTATAACAGGACATGTTGGCACAGATAAATTTTGTTTGCCATAAATGTGGGCAAAGTGGTTCTTGTTAAACATACGTGACATATATAAGCAGTGGCCTATAGCTAGTTTTTTAAAAAAAAATAGTTAAAATGAGAGTGCTGCATGTAGAATGAGGCACATTTCTGCCCTGTCCCCCCAATAATAATGTTATTTATGTGAATCTGAACCTATTCCAGATCTTTCACATTATTTGTTAATATTCCATTCCATAGATTAGGCAGAAGAGGTTGTTCTCAATCCTGAATAAGGATTAATAAGTGAAGTTGGATGTTTTGGTTAACCCATAATTTTTTAATTATGCTATTTTCTGTATCTAGATGCTGAACTTAAGGGAAAATTTGTTTAAAATAAGTCACTCAGTGTCAAAAGGATGCAATGCAAGCTAGGGGCATTTTTGTAAGCTGGCTTTTCTTTTTCTTCTCTCTTATATACAGTGTTCCCTCAGGTTACATACACTTCAGGTTACATACGCTTCAGGTTACAGACTCCACTAACCCAGAAATAGTACCTCGGGTTAAGAACTTTGCTTCAGGATAAGAACAGAAATTGGGCTCCGGCGGCGCGGCGGCAGCAGGAGGCCCCATTAGCTAAAGTGGTCCTTCAGGTTAAGAACAGTTTCAGGTTAAGAACGGACCTTCAGAACGAATTAAGTATGTAACCAGAGGTACCACTGTAATGTAAACATTATATAGCTAAGATAACTTGCAGTATGTAAATAAAAGCTAAAATGCAATAAACTTGACTTCTCGTGATGTGGAAAGGTGAAATTAACCATTAGTAAGTTTGATATCGGAATGGCTTTGGTCATGCTCTGTGTAGCTTTGATAATAATTAAATTAGGTTTACTATTTACAGATTTGCCACTTCTGCAGAGGGGCTGCAGGCTTCAGACTTGATTCTGTGGAGAGGTATACTGCTGTCCATTTTCCCCCAACTATTTTTTCCATCAAGGTCTCTCACTCTTTACACAATTCGTATCCAGCACGTTGGCTGCTAATAGATTGATGGGAGAAAGGTGGAAAGGCACAAATAGGTAAGTTTACTGAAATCAGGTGCCTCTTTCTTGGGGTGTGTGTGTGTTTTAAAAAACCATTCTGGCCATGTTCAGTCTGCATTTAAGCCCTTTTGCATTAGTTACTTTTGGTCTGAGGAGACCTTTACTCTGATTCCAGCATAAAAGGGTGAGGTGCAGTGCTTTCTATAGCAAAAGCCCTTGCTGGGTCAGAGTAAAAACCTCTCCCCCCACGCACCAAAGCGGACCAACACAAAAGGTTTAAGGAGGAAAATTGTTAAAAGGGAAACCCTTTTCTCTTTGGGATGAATGCATTGGGGAGATTAAAACTTTCATTTGAGATTTTGCTGTATTCATAGTAGTGAGGCTATGAATAGAGCTAAGTCAGAGCCCGCAGTGGTGGTGGTGTGCCCTTTTATACTCTGGCACATCTTCAGACACAGGTTGTTTTGCACTTGAAAGAAGGGGAATGTGGGATTTTGACAGCTGATATTGGCCTCTGAGCTCTTGATGGGGATTTTCTAATTAACCCCAAGAGCCCATCAGGTGGTCAAACTGGAATGATTTCTGTCAGAGAGGGCAAAAAGTTGGGTTTCCCTATTCCTCCTTTCTATCGAGTTCACTGGGAAAGTCTTTTAACATCACCTATTAAATGAAACCAATTTTGCTTCTCTTTAAAGGGGTTTGGAAACTGAAAGGGCAATGTAACCCAGACAAGCTGGAGGTTTCACAAAGGACTTTTGAACAGGTTAAAAAACTGTGTCGATAGCCAAAATGACAATGCCATTAAAATCTCTTAACGATTACATTGTCAGTGTTTTGGCCCCAGAGATAGATAGATAGGTAGGTAGGTAGGTAGGTAGATATTCTGTTTAATTTTGAAAATGTCAAGTTGAATTCTTTTTCAGAGGAACTAGATGAGCATTTACATTCTTGTGTATATCCTGAACGTGAATGATGAAGCGCTCTGAATCTGAAATAACTTTTCCTGACTGCACAGATCATTTTCCTACTATGTGGTACCTATCAAGTGCTCACCTTTTGTGAATTGAACTCACTCCATAATTCGTTTCCACAGTCCTGGAAAGATTTGTGGCTACCAGGTCTCCTCCTGTGAGCATACAACACACATTGCAGAATTGTCCTAGCAAAATATGGATGTTTGTTTTTTCAGTTTCCTTGCCATAATTAGTGCAACAAGATATATGTGGATTAGACTCTTTATACTGACTCAGGTTAGTTGGGAGAGGACCAGCATGATCTGAAGCACACTGCACATCTTGAAAGCATGCATTTGAATCTGAAGTGATGCAACAGAACTCTCAATCTATGATGTCAGAGTGATCAGATTTACTAGCTGGGAAGCATACATTTACATCATGTTTAGAAATGTGCACCAAAGCTGAGCTCCATGTGGAACAGCCCTGAAGGCAAAATCTAAATCTAATTCTACGAAAACTGCAACTGCAGAGAAGGAACATTTGTGCTCAACACAGGAGATGAAATCCACCTGTCTATTTCTTGACTGGGTCTTGTAGGTTTAAGCTGCAAGGAGCCACAGATGAAGTTTCAGCATAAGTGATGCTGTCTATATCATGCTTTCTCCGCATAAATCAAACCCATGCATTCACTCCCTGACAAATGGAAGCGGACACCGTAAGGAAGAGGGTGTGAAGCATGTAGGTTTAGAACAGCTAGTAGAAAGACATGATTATTTGTATTATTGCAGCACTGAGAGGCAACAAGCGAGATCATGGGGGCCATTGTGTTAGACATGGCATATATTTATAGAAAAGGACAGCTTTGGTTCCAAAGAGCTTACAACTTACACCGAAAAGAAAGAAAGGGTTGAAAAGGAAATAGAGGCAAAGAAGAAAAGTGACTTGTTCACAATTTCAGCTTTCCCTTCCGTCAGTGTGTGGGAGTGATCTACAGGCTTTGAAGAACAGAAGCAAAAAAGGAGAAGGGATGGAATAAGAATTCCAGTGAGCTTGCATATTGTAAGACTGTTTGCTACATTATAATTGGTTTTGCCTATTGAAAGTTGGCTAAAATATTTGCTTTCCCCCCTCCATGCATCACCAAGACCAAGAGTGTATTCTAAAGCCTCATAAAATGATTCTGCTGTGTTGAAGATTAGAGATATAAAAACCTTTTTTTATGATCTCTAT